AAATTTTAAAAAAACTATGTCTAAGGTTTTAATTCATGTTTTAAATTGATTAATTTTGAGACAGAAACACTTTTACAACCTAATTTAAATGAAACAATTGCCTAAAACAACGTTTTTTAAAATTTTATTTTTCTATGGTGAAATTTTTTCACCACAACTTAATTTATCAGTAAAATTTTCAAGTTCCATTAGCCATAGAGCTGTGCAGTTTTCTGTTTTTAACTAAGTTTAATACGATAAATAAGCTGGTCTATTCAAATTTATTATGGTATCTACAGTTTTGTCAAAATTTGTTGATTAATCTATGAGAGTGGTGGAAATTTTTCACCATAATTATATTTTTCACATATTTTCGCCTTATACTTAGAAGAAAGCTTAAATATCTGTTAATTTTCTAATATTATGGACAATTATCTATGGAAATCAGTTAAAAGAATAATAATTTAACGCAAAATTATTGGATAAATAATTTATCAAAATTTTTGCAACATGAAAACTTTAATGAAGGAAAATCTCTGGAAAAACTTGATGGAAAATTCTAAAACCCTCAGTAATTACTCGTTTTTGTTGATAGATTAATATTAGAAACGATTAAGTTTTCTACGAAACGTAAATAAGACAAAATTTTAGATTTTTCAAAGTGCGTCTAAACGAACTGCGCACTTTGTTGTTGTAATTTTTGAAAAAATTATTTTAATTACTTAAGCAAAGCATTTAGTCAGATACTTTTATTATATTTATAACCTAATTGGTCACAGCTATAAACACATAAAATAGTTTTTGTCTTAATAGTGTTTATTAAAGGAAAATTTGAAAAAAATTAAGTGCGTCTAAACGAACTGCGCGCACCTTATAATACCTAGATATAAAAAAAATATCGATTTTATATCTATATTAGCATTCTTTATCATTTATTATACCTAGATATGTTTTAAAATGCAATTTAAAGCATTTTTGGTTTCGATAATAGTAGGCTATTTTCAAAAAAAATATCGATTTTATATCTATATTGGCATTATTTATAATTTATAAAACCTAGATATGTTTTAAAATGCAATTTAAAGCATTTTTGGTTTCGATCATAGTAGGCAATTTTCAAAAAAATATCGATTTTATATCTATATTAGCATTACTTATCATTTATAATACCTAGATATAAAAAAAATATCGATTTTATATCTATATTAGCATTTTTTATCATTTATAATACCTAGATATGTTTTAAAATGCAATTTAAAGCATTTTTGGTTTCGATAATAGCAAGATTTTTAAAAAAATATCGATTTTATATCAATACTAGCATTCTTTATCATTTATAATACCTAGATATGTTTTAAAATGCAATATAAAGCATTTTTGTTTTTAATAATAGTAGGCTGTATTCAAAAAAAAATATTGATTTTATATCTATATTAGCATTCTTTATCATTTATAATACCTTGATATGTTTTAAAATGCAATATAAAGCATTTTTGTTTTTAATAATAGTAGGCTGTATTCAAAAAAAATATTGATTTTATATCTATATTAGCATTCTTTATCATTTATAATACCTAGATATGTTTTAAAATGCAATATGAATTTTTGTTTTTAATAATAGAAGGCTATTTTCAAAAAAAATATCGATTTTATATCTATATTAGCATTCTTTATCATTTATTATACCTAGATATGTTTTAAAATGCAATTTAAAGCATTTTTGGTTTCGATAATAGCAAGATTTTTAAAAAAATATCGATTTTGTATCTATATTAGCATTCTTTATCATTTATAACACCTAGATATGTTTTAAAATGCAATATAAAGCATTTTTGTTTTTAATAATAGTAGGCTGTATTCAAAAAAAAATATTGATTTTATATCTATATTAGCATTCTTTATCATTTATAATACCTTGATATGTTTTAAAATGCAATATAAAGCATTTTTGTTTTTAATAATAGTAGGCTGTATTCAAAAAAAATATTGATTTTATATCTATATTAGCATTCTTTATCATTTATAATACCTAGATATGTTTTAAAATGCAATATGAATTTTTGTTTTTAATAATAGAAGGCTATTTTCAAAAAAAATATCGATTTTATATCTATATTAGCATTCTTTATCATTTATTATACCTAGATATGTTTTAAAATGCAATTTAAAACATTTTTGGTTTCGATCATAGTAGGCCATTTTCAAAAAAATATCGATTTTATATCTATATTAGCATTATTTATCATTCATAACACCTAGATATGTTTTAAAATGCAATATAAAGCATTTTTGTTTTTAATAATAGTAGGCTGTATTCAAAAAAAATATTGATTTTATATCTATATTAGCATTCTTTATCATTTATAATACCTAGATATGTTTTAAAATGCAATATGAATTTTTGTTTTTAATAATAGAAGGCTATTTTCAAAAAAAATATCGATTTTATATCTATATTAGCATTCTTTATCATTTATTATACCTAGATATGTTTTAAAATGCAATTTAAAGCATTTTTGGTTTCGATCATTGTAGGCAATTTTCAAAATTAATATCGATTTTGTATCTATATTAGCATTCTTTATCATTTATAACACCTAGATATGTTTTAAAATGCAATATAAAGCATTTTTGTTTTTAATAATAGTAGGCTGTATTCAAAAAAAAATATTGATTTTATATCTATATTAGCATTCTTTATCATTTATAATACCTTGATATGTTTTAAAATGCAATATAAAGCATTTTTGTTTTTAATAATAGTAGGCTGTATTCAAAAAAAATATCGATTTTATATCTATATTAGCATTATTTATCATTTTTAATACCTAGATATGTTTTAAAATGCAATTTAAAGCATTTTTGGTTTCGATCATTGTAGGCTATTTTCAAAAAAAAATATCGATTTTATATCTATATTAGCATTATTTATCATTTATAATACCTAAATATGTTTTAAAATGCAATTTAAAGCATTTTTGGTTTCGATCATAGTAGACGATTTTCAAAAAATATCGATTTTATATCTATATTAGCATTCTTTATCATTTATAATACCTAGATATGTTTTAAAATGCAATTTAAAACATTTTTGGTTTCGATCATAGTAGGCCATTTTCAAAAAAATATCGATTTTATATCTATATTAGCATTCTTTATCATTTATAATACCTAGATATGTTTTAAAATGAAATTTAAAACATTTTTGGTTTCGATCATAGTAGGCCATTTTCAAAAAAATATCGATTTTATATCTATATTAGCATTCTTTATCATTTATAATACCTAGATATCTTTTAAAATGCAATTTAAAGCATTTTTGGTTTGGATCATAGTAGGCTATTTTCAAAAAAAATATCGATTTTATTTCTATATTAGCATTATTTATCATTTATAATACCTAGATATGTTTTAAAATGCAATTTAAAACATTTTTGGTTTCGATCATAGTAGGCCATTTTCAAAAAAAATATCGATTTTATATCTATATTAGCATTCTTTATCATTTATAATACCTAGATATGTTTTAAAATGCAATTTAAAGCATTTTTGGTTTAGATCATTGTAGGCAATTTTCAAAATTAATATCGATTTTATATCTATATTAGCATTCTTTATCATTTATAATACCTAGATATGTTTTAAAATGCAATATGAAGCATTTTTGGTTTCGATCATAGTAGGCTATTTTCAAAAAAAATATCGATTTTATATCTACATTAGCATTCTTTATCATTTATAATACCTAGATATGTTTTAAAATGCAATTTAAAGCATTTTGACTTCCACGCAAAAGCGTGCAAGTTATTGGTTTCACGAAAAACATACTTTTTTTAATACAGCCTGAAGGACTCATTTTCAAAAATCTCAAAGGGTACCAAAATGTGATTAATTGGACATCATCTATGCCTTTAAAACGCCAAAAAACGTCTTTTTTGAATTTTGAAAATTTTTCTTGTTCAAACGAATATATCTGAAGATTAAATTTTTTGAAATTCTCGAAACAATAACGTAGCTTTCGCGAATGAAAAAAAAAAAAAATCTAAAGATATTAGAGTTTCAATATTTAATTATATTTTCCTGACTTCTTTACTTAAAATTCAGTTTGAGATGTTTGTAACTTTTCAATGTCTGTGATAGGATACTTTTGATGGGAGTCTTAGCTGTAGGAAGGGGAGTGGACGAGCTGTGCTCCACTCCACTCCGCTCCATTGCACATTGCTTCGCTTCGCTCAGCAATGTTCCATTTCACTTCGTTGTGACATTGAAAGCATCTGTCAACATCTGTGTTCGATCTTTTCGAGAAATTTGACAACTATTTTGTTATCTAAAATAAGTCAAGCGTGGAAGTTCGTGCCTACGTAAGTCTTGTTTTTTTGAAAGTTTTTTAAATATGAAAAAGGCACATGGGTTTTTCAGTTGCTTTTGATGACTAAATTTTTGAATCAGATTAACATATTTAGACCAAAGTTGTTGGCTCATAGTCTGAAAGACAAAAACAATTAATTCTCCTTAATGCTATAAACAAATCCTTTGCAGCATGAAGTGAGAAAATTCACAAACTTATTTTCCATGTGTTGCAACATCAAAAATTCCAAATAGAATCAAATCGTACAACCAAAAACGCATTTTCACTTACCTTTTGAAAATTTAATTCATTTATGTTTTCTTAATGTTTAAAAAGATGCTTCAAAGTTTTCTTAATGTTTAAAAGATGTCTGATAAGATAAAAGGAAAAATTTTACAAAAGGAATTTTCAGAAAAGCAACTTCAAAGGAACTTTTAACGAGCAGCGTTTAAATGAAAATTTGACAAATTGATCGAATTTAAAGCCCAACAATGAGCTTTTTTTCTCGTGTCTTAAAACATTGTATTCGTTGTACAGGAATTAGGTCAAAATTCAATGGAGAGTAAGGAGAATTTTGCCAAGTTTGTGTTTAAAGAGAAGCACAAGTGATGATACACAAGATAAGCTGAAAGGAACTTTAAATAATGTAAAACTTCAGTCAATTTTGGATTTTTAGTGATTCTTTAATCTTAATAAATTTTTAATAAATATTTTACAAATAATCATTATTATTGTTAATCTTTCGTCATTTTTTGTTTTAAAAAAATTATTCTTGATCTGAGCTATTGTAATTAATATAGGTATTTTAAATTTATAGTGACATGAAAAAATACGCACAGGAAAGAAGTATAGGTTCTAGTTTGCTTTAATCAAGTATCATTATTGTTTCTCTAAAATGAACGCATTAATTTTTTAAAATTTCTAAATTTTCTGTATTTTTAGTGGCTGATCTTTTTTCAGTTTTATGCGAATCATTTTTTAATCTAAATTTGAAAGAATTTTTATTTAATTCTTTTTCAAAAAGGCAAATTTGTATATTTTTCTTAAATATTTTAAATATGCATGATTTTATGCAACTATCAAATTCTTCTGAATTTTAATAAAATTTATAAGATTCCATTACTTTATGTCACAATTCCATTGTGGTTAATTAGAGATAAGTAAATTGACTTGATGATTCGATTGTATTATTCAGTGAAATTTACAGCACTCAGTCATTAAGTTATTCATCTTTTGATAGATTAATAGAGTGATTCAATAGCTGTCAAAATTTCTTTGAATTTCACAATCAGCGATATAAGAGGAAAGTTTATGAGTATTTTAATGTAAATAAGCAATAATAATATAGTAAAAAAGCTCAAACACTCTTTTAAATCATGTTCAGAATCATCAAATCACTAAGCTTCACTAACATCGAAACTTGCAAACTAATTGTAAACGCAAACGAATTTGTTCATGTCTGTTTAGGCAACTTTTTATGTATTTATAAATAAGCTAATCATAAAAAACATGAAAAAATATTCAATATGTATAAAGTAGTATATTATGAAATATTCTACAGAAGGCCACAAAATACGAATTATCAACATCATATGTCATTCACAAAAGAATTTCCTTTTCATAATTCCAGTCATTTGCATAAAAAAAAATTAAAATAAAAGGTAATAATTTTTTTAAAAAAAGATAAAAATAGAAGAAATAAAAACATTAAAAAAAAGTTTTCAACTTTTCATTTACACTCAAATCACATGTGAACGAAGAAAAAAAAATAACTTGAAAAATATTTTCGCCTCAGAAGTAGAAGAAGTAATAAAATCAAAAGTAACAAAAAATAATATTTGTGTTGTAAAGTTTAATTAATTATGAAAATTCCAAACTTTATGCTCTTCTTCTTCCGCCGCATAAATTATTCAATCAACAATCAAAATATACTTTAGACGATAATTCAGAGTTGGAGATTTACAAATTTTCACAGCTTTAAAGATTCCTTCTCGATTGCTGATTTTTTTTTTTGTGAGATATAGCTTTCTGAGGAGTAATTTTAATGAATGATAACACTTTGAAGCTTCATGCCACCTGAGCATCCTTGCTGAATTTACTCTAATCAAGAAATATTGAGAACTTCTTCTACATTTACCTTCCATTTAACTTTATCATTCGTTCAGTATTAACTTTATAAGAGACAGAAATAGAGAGAGTGAGAGACGTAGAGACAGAAAAGCACTAACTTTTTCATTTCGAGGTCGATTACTGTCATAAGATTAAACAAAACTTGTATGCAAAAGAAGAAAAAAACCAATCAGTTTAATAAAAAAAAAAAAAAATATAAAAGGGAATTGAGCAGTCGTCCATCAATATAATATATGTAAGTTCGTTATAATTAATTTATCCGTCATCACAAAATAACAAATTCCTATTTCACTTCATACTTAATTTCTTCATGATAAGACTTCCAAAGCATTACGATATAAAACGAGTAGGAAAATATTTTTTACACAAACGAACTAAATTCTTGTCACTTTCATGTTTCATAAAAATGGATTATTAGTGCTGGCTGTAGTAGTTCCAGTTGTCTGCAATATAAAAAGGATTGTAAGGAGAAAAAAATTAGGAAAATTAAAATCATTCATCAAAATCAGAAACGAGTTCGGTCAGTTCTTTTTTGTTTGATAGTTCGTGAGGGTTTTACAAAAAATTAAAAGGCTGGCAATTTACAACTAATCTAAAAAGTTCTGTTTTTGATTTAAAAATCAATAAAATTGAGAATTTTGATAAAGGCACAAGCTTAATGTTATTGATTTTTGATTTTGTATAATTTACTTACCATAAATGGATTTGCAAAGGCTGCTTTACCACCAAATGATGAAGATTGTGATATAATTCCATTTGTCATGTTGTTTGCATAAAAGAATCCATTTGAGAAACCATTCGAGTTGAGCGGTGAACCAAAACCGTTTGAGAAAAAATTTTGTGATTCTGGCATTGTCCAGTTTTGATAAGATTGCTGATTAGTTTGTTGCTGTGGAATGGCTTGGAATGGATTTTTGAATGGATTAACTGGAATTGCTGACGTTGCTTTAAAAATAAATGATATAAAATTAATGTTTTATTACGTTATCATTCATTAATAAATATCATACCCGATGGATTTGTTTGTTCGACCGTTTCAACTTTCGCCTCCCTCAATTGCTCATCTAAATCCTTAAGAGCTGCATAACGATCTGCTGATGGCGTTGTAGAATTTAGCGATGAATTAGAATTAAATGTCCCACTACTGGAATTTAGGGAATTATTGCTCAAAGAGCTTGTTGACATTGGCAAACCTGTAGATGTATACGTTTATTCATTATTCATTGCGGTTTACTTATTAGCATAAAATATTTGTATAAACGGCTCAAAATTAATTTGATAAGGGATAGTACTTTGAAAATATATATGTATCTTTTGTGTTATTTCATTTTGTAATTTAATAACAATTTTCAAAATACCTGGAACTTGCTTCACACAAATTATTAATTTGAAACAAAATTATGAATAATAAAGAATGAAAAGTTATGCATTGTGTTCTGATAAATTTAATTTGAAGAAATTCTGATTACACATGAAGTTCCTTCAAATATTTGTTGTTGTTAAAGCTGATGCAGTGTACAAAATTAAGATCGTGATAAGGATATAGGATAACAAAATAAAATAAAAATGTTTTTATTGATATTAAAGCAGTGTTAAAATGACTTAAAGCTTTGAAATAAAAAGACAACATGAACACAAGCTACATAAACTTACTCCAACGATTTTGTTCTGACTGATTGGAATTATTGGGCCATTGAAAGTGTTGCCAAATATTCCATTGAATGTTACTTGAGTTACTGTTTGGACTATTAGTTGAAGTATTATTATTTTTGCAATATTCTTCTAGATAAGATAATTTTATAGAGAAGTTATAAGATGTGTCCATCGACGAAATAATATTTGTTTTGATATTAATACAAGAGTTGTAAGCATAAAGAAGAATAAGAAATAGTTAATTTATCATGACATAGTACGCGCACTATATATGAGAAAAATTCAGTACCCACATATCCAATGCACTATGTATTTTGAAAAAAAATGGATGCTTACCTGCTGCGTTGTAAATCTTGTTGTTCTCAAAATCAGCAAAGTTAGCATTTAAATCTCTCTCATTTGTTACGTTCTCTTTGAAACCATTGATTGTAGTTTTTCCATTTATTTGGCCAGCACTTCCAGTACTGTTTAAGCTATTATTTGAATTGTATATGCTTGCTTTACTAAAGTCTGCAACAAAGTCATTGCAACTATTATCACTTTTAATGCTTCCATTTTGTGATGATTTTCCATTTAAATTATTTGTCAAGAAATTATTACTATTAATATTATTGATGCTATTGTGGCTATTTCCATTCATTTCAAGATGTCCGTTTTGAATATTGTGACTTTGTTGCGTTCGTTGATGATGATGATGACGATTATTAGCCGCTGGTGGTGTGAGTTTGTGGACGGTGAGATTATTACTATCTGACGAATGATGATTTACTATCGATTTAGAAGACTGTTGGATAGTTGATGCGGCTATTGATGATGATGATGACGAAGTATTTATAGACTTTAATGGACTTGCTGGCTCCAAATAATACCTAAAATTAATTAATTGATATGCATTTAATCATATTTAATAATAGATTATAATTTTTCATTACCTCTTTCGCTCATATTTATCAATCATAAAATCACGATGTTCTTGCTTTAATGTTCGCTTTGAGTCCCAAAGACCTAACCAAGTTTTTGCAGATTCGTCGTTTCCATGTGTTTTAATAAAATCCAGCTCATCGGACGTAAATGTTGCCATTGAAATTGATTTCACTCTATGGGGTGGTGTCAATCCACGTCTGTAAAGAAGAAAATTGAAAGATTATCAAATTATTATTAACTTAGTCATCAGCTTGATCTACAAGCAAGCTTCTTAATTAAGTAATTGATTAAATATTAGGCTATTAAAGAAAATCATTATCATGATATTATTTATAAATGACACACTTCATTATCCTCATAAATTTTCCTCCACAACTTATATACTTTTATGATTTTCTTGATATTAAATGATGGCTTTATATATAACATCATTTCTCTTCGTCATATTTTCCCCACAATTTAATCAATACGAAAAATTGTCACACTAGTATGATTTTGCAAAGCATCCACGAAATTATAGAATACCAAAGATACATACCAGGGGCGTAGCCAGGGGGGGGCCATAGGGGGCCCGGGCCCCCCCTACGAAAATCTGATAATTGTTTTATTAAGTATTTATAAAGAAGAACCAGTTAATGTAAAGCAAGTAATGAAAGAAATGTCAAAATCAGCATGAAAAATTAAATTTAATGTATGAATAATGAATTAAATATTTAAACTTATGAAGAATGAATATAGATTTAAGGATAAAAAATAACGGTTTTTTTTTAATTTTCGAAAATGGGCCCCCCCTTTAAAAATTTTCTGGCTACGCCCCTGATACATACTGCCAGAAAAATTATCCCAGCATTGTGTATTAAAGTATTAATAAAGAGTAATGATAGCAATAATGTCAAGACATTTATGTCGGTTTGTTTTACTTCATCCATAATCATCTTCAAAACGTCAGATTTTGTCAGATAATATTTATTACAGTACATAATCAACTTCTGAAATTTTCATCAATATTTTAACTTCCATTTAACATTACTTTAATGACTTGAATTCATAAATGAAAAACTTTTAAAATAAAACTCATCAGAACTCCAATTATGATGAATATTCTATTTGTAAAGAGGATGAAACCATTCATTACAGTCAATTATAGAGACAATTTCCAACATCATTCTAGTAGTCCTTTAAAATTAAAATAGGATAAAGACGTATTTTAAAACGAACGAGAAAGTTAAATAACCATAGGAGAAGTTTAATGGCTTTAACATTTTCTAAATATCGTATTAAAAGTTTTACTAAAGTTCCTTAAGTACCATTTTCTTTTTGTAACAAAAATGAAATAAAGAAAGCATTCATCATGACAGTGTAGGTGAAGTTTTCAAAGAAAAGTGCAACAGATGGGAGGATAAAGTGAAGAAAGTTTTTTTTTAAGCTCTTTACTAAAAAGAGTTTTTTTTTTGTCAAATTGACTAAAAGCTGTTAGGTTTTCTTTTTTTATTGAATCAAAATCACTTTTGAGAATACAAACTGTTTCAAAAGTTAAATATAATTGCCTCTTTTATCAAAAATATACAGAACACTTTTATAACCGAACTAAAATTAGATATTTGCAATGATATTTAATACAACCACAGCTTTAATTACGTTTTCGTAATGACAGATACTTTCGCATATTACTATTGGAAGCATTCTATTACGTAAGAAACTAAAGTCAAACAAACAAAAAAGTTAAAGCACAAACTTCTGTTAAGGAACTGTTTAAAGTTTGTTAACTTAATATTGGTTATTTTTGATCAATGTCAGATCAAATTTAGTAGTTTTTAATGCACAAACAAGTAGTAAATTTTGCCATTACTAAACAATAAGATTTTGGAGTAAATATTGAATGAATTCAAAAAGGTTTTTTATACCGTTTGAATAGTTTAAGAACTTTTCAGGTGTCTTTTTCCTTTATAAGTGTAGTAAAACAATTGGAAAAGTAAAGGTCCTTTATTTTAAATAATAATAATAATATTTTTGATTGATTAGTCATATATAGCTTGAATTATGAAACAACAGGTATTTTAAGTATGAACCTGTAAAAATGTTCATAAATACCTGTTATTCTATTGCATTTGTTTTATAAAACTAAATTCAATCAATATCATTAGTTCATCATTAGACTTTTATTTGACATTGACATTGGCGCTATATTAAGAAATAAATGTCGATTGACATTGGTTTAGAGAGAATCCAAGATTGTTTTATTAAAAATATTCTTAAGATTTGAAATGGAATTAATTTGTCAACAATATTGTCATTGAAGCAATAGACTGCTTTACATAACCGTCAAGATTTGTCTAAATTTTATGTACATACAAACGCGAAATTACTGTTTACTGTTACTTGCAGTTATTCTTCAAAATCATTGCTGGTGTTACGATTAAAGCAATTTCAAAGCAAGGACGATACGATAGTTAAAGTGAGTTCATTTACAATATAAATTTAGATCCAATTTTGCCCAAAAACATGACACAAGAATTCATATATATTATAAAATGATTATTGAAATTGTCAATTCTATATTTTGTTGCTAATTTCTTTAATGTCGGAAATAAGAATTTTGAATAGAAAATAATTTCATAGTAGATGATTTTTACGGTCAAGGTGAATGTCAGATGTATAAACGTATCAAAAATTTGCTTCACACTAGTGCACTCATTTTTGATACTTGATACTTTTTTGTAGGTATAAGTAAGCATTTTTAGAAATCATTTAATTGATTCATAAAGCTCATTGAAAAGTATAAGTATCGATGAGCTATATTAAAATTACAAATTAAATCACGACTTGACTAATGTACATGACACACACATATTAGTAGAATTTTTTGCGTAATTATATTAAAACATCTTGGTATGCGCATATGTTAAGTCTGATCTATGAAGGTCACCAAAGGTAAGAACAAAGAAAAGAAGAGGAAAATGAATAAATGCTAATAATTAACTACTCAAATACTAAATGCCATCTTAGTGTTCATTTTCATATTTCACTTTGTATTCATTTCCTGGAAGAAATAATTAGAAAAGGCAAAACGAGCAAAAATAAACAATGGCAAAGAACTTGTTTCATTCATCTTAATGTGTTTAACATATATTTAATTAAATTTACAATAATTTTATTGTGCTTTGATCTTTAAAACTGGTTTCAATTATCACCACTAATATTTAAAAAAATTTTAATTGTCAATAGAATTATTTGATCCCCATCGATGAAAATTGGCTTTATTTTTTTAATTATCATTCGTCTTTTTTGTGCTCATGAGTCATAACAAAGGGAAACTTTTATAGTATTAGATGTATGCAGTAAATTTTCCTATTTTTAAAAAGCTGGTCTCTTAAGTAAATTCAATTTTGCTTGAAGTGCATTTTGGCAATTGATATGAAATGCATAAACAAGACATGAAACTCATATTGATTTAATTTTTGTCTAGCATAAATCTAAAATTGGATGTTCCTGAATGTGTTATATTGATTTCAAATTTCTTATAATAATATTTGCAATCTAATTCCTAGGAAACGCCAAGTTACCGAAAAGAAGTTTTTTAAAATATTTACTTTATCCAATTTAGCAAAAGGATAGAAAATAAATCGATAGAAACATGTTATTATTGTCATTGGTACCTTTAGGGGTTTTTCCTAATATGATTTCAGCTCAATAGAATAAAGCAAAGCTTTCAAATTCACACAAGTACATCTCAATTTCCTTTTCATATTTAACATAATGTCGGCTGAATGTGATTTAGTTTATGATTTCCTTCCTTAAAAAGTATTTCTTTAGGGCATGGATCTTTTGCTGCAAAATTTAACAATAATTTGTGATACAAATTTCCTTAAAACTATTGTATCGGGTAAAAACCCAAAGCGGATATATTCACACCGTACCATCAAAAGTTTTGTTGATAGACAAAGCTCCGCTTGGCAAATGTTTGAAAGCTTAAAGTTTGAAGAGTTAGCTGAGCATCGCTCAGCATATGTTTGTAGGCTTAAAACTTGAAGGACAGATCTTATTCCTACCTTGCCCAAAAACAATACAACTCATCTATAGGTCAGCACGGATCGAATGTAAAAAAAATATAAGTTTCTATGATGTCACGTTATTGAGACTTCTTGCTAAGTGAAAGCGTATTTTGCGATTTTCTCAACAATTCTTTGATCATTTTGAAATCTGTTTTTGGGGAAGATGTGAAATATCTTGCGACGCTTTTTAAAAACACAGTTTAGGCAAGAATATATACTTAGAATGTTTCAACGAATAATTAATTTTTCATTGAAACCTTTTAAAATAAATATTAATTTTCAAACTTCCCCTTTGTCTCAAAATCTTTATAAAAAAGGTTACAAGTGAATGACTTATATGTGGATTTTACTTTTTAAAATACATGAAACTTGATACTTTATCGTTGCAAGGATAATATGTATCAACCGTTTCTGTGCCACGTGTATAATTTTCAGTATTATATTCCAATCAATAATATTCTTCTGTTGTTTATTTTTGCCATTTTTTAACATTTTATTGCAGCTCATTAGATATCTGTTTTAATGTTCTAGCATACTTTATGCGTCATAGCATACAAGAAATTATTTTCGCTTTCAATGATAAGATATTTTGGCCAAATCATGTCAAAAATTGTTTAAGCTTCTCTCTAAAAATATGAACTAATGTTGTTTTAGATTGATAAGAATGTTTAAATAATATTTACATCAGGGGCGTAGCCAGGGGGGGGGGGGTAAAGGGGGCCCGGGCCCCCCCTACGAAAATCTGATAATTGTTTTATTACGTATTTATAGAGAAGAACCAGTTAATGTAGAGGAAGTGATGAAAGAAATGTCAAAATCAGCACGAAAAATTAAATTTAATGTATGAATAATGCAGACTAACGTCACGTTAAAAATTGTCAGTTACAGAAGTTTTACCGATTTTTTTTAAATATTTTGAATCTTTTTTAACCGTTGGAAAAAACTTTATTCAACATAATTCGAAGCTTTTAACTGTTTAGTTCTTTAAAATAAATAATCTTTGACATATTTTTAATGTTTTTGAACTGAAAATGCTTAAGTAAATGCAAGAATTGGTGATTTTAAAAATTTTCAGGACAAAAATATCAAAAGTAAACAAAAGTTGTAAATGTGTAAGTGAATTTTTTCACGAATTATAAATTTGG